GTAAGACGTTTGATTAAAACGGTATATTTCATTTAGACGTTGAGCATTTTTGCTCAAAAGAGACGGAAGATGTATTTATGGTGATTACACGAAGACGTATGTATTTTGGAAGACGCGATACATTGAATATTGTATATAAGTTGTATATATTTAGTTCCTGTTTGTTACTCGTTTTGCTGTTTGCTGTTTGTATTCATTATTATGTTTATTATATATGTATTCAACTACCCGGAGCCTTTTATTAAACAACCCCTAGACAAGTAAAAAAGTCTACATTAGAAGCATTGTTTCAAGATTTTGAACCATGCCAGAATATAGAGGAGGCCGAAGTCATCTGTGAAAGTGATGTAGTTTTATCAGAAGCAAGTGAAAAAAAATCTAAACCCAATGATGAAGAGCCAGACATCCAGGCACGTGCCTTGGTTCAGGTACCTGAAGAACCAAATTCTCAACAAAATAATATGGATTATGGAGCATGCTGATGAAGTTCCAATTGAGTTCATCAATGGAATTTCCATTGCGTTCAGAATTGGTAATGCCATTGCGTTCAGCAATGGAAATCCCATTGAGTTCGGTATGGGAATTCCATTGGCAATTCTCCATTTATTACCATTAATCATTATTAGTGGTAATTAAATAGCATTTTTTTAATGGAAATTGAAAGGAAATTTTTCCTACGGGTGCACGTGTTTCGGGATACGCGCCAAGAAAGTAGCCCATCAACCTCACAACATTCTCCTCCTCAAATCTAAATGACGTTTTAAAATCTGATTCTCGTGGTGTATGTCTTAGTTTGTAGTATTTTCTTGTATGTTAATGCACCATATCAGGTATAACAAGCACAATACTGCGACCACACAACTAAAGATTACTTATACATGTCCTTTTACATAAAAACAGTCCTACAAACACATAAATTTTTACGTTACAAGCTGTGTGATATACGATGGGCAGCTACTGAAAAGTTGAAAAGAGCGAGAAAAGTTGTGAACCTAGATCCCTTTTTTAGAAGCAAATACGTTATATAGTTTTTGAGCAGATGCTTTATTTTATAAATACTATAGCAATGTGTTTGTACATTATAATAATCTTGACAAGTTCGTAAAATTTTCATTTTATGTTGATTTATTATGTTTATAGTAATTTTTTAAAATTATAATTGCGGACCTGGAGGTTTGCGAACTTCTTCCTAATAGTACAGTTCGTCGGGCCACGTGTGGTGAGACATTTGCGGACCAATTACTTTTTACTCTGAATAATCGTACTTGCCTAGTAGGTAAATGATACAATAATAATAATAATTTTGGAAATTTATCTACATGAATAATAAACTTCACTCCAGCATTTCCACAGACTGAGGACTGTCAACAAAACAATTGTTTGCTTCTTTAGAAGCTACTGATGGTAACATATTGTATATTAACACTTTAAGAAACTCTTCTTTCTTAAAGTGTTTCATGTAGTATTAAATATTATATTTGACTCATATTGATCTTAACTAACTCGAAGAGTCTGTTATATCCATTTGTGAGACAATGATGGTAAGGATGGATAGTGCAACAGAAGAGAAACTTCTGAAGTTTCGGTTTCCATTGTCAGTAGCTGGAGGTGTAGGAATCAAATTATCTGCGAAAAGAAAAATGCTTAGTATTCAGGGCAAGCAAGGAACAGTTTACGACAATTTAAAGGTCTGTTCTAAAACTCCACAACTATCTGAAATTAAATCTAAAAATCTAAACTACACTACATGAATACAGTAACGATTTGCTGTAGTACATAGATGTTCATACAACTGCAAATTACAATTACTTTAGAAAGTTTTAAACCCAGTAGCAACAAATAGATACAAATAGATACAATATAAGAAAAGTGTAAAATGAAATTGGATGTTTTTATGCAGCTGATATGTTATATCCATAAGGATTTGGTAATTATCATCTTTTGTGTCTCCTTAAAATATGGGGGCGTCGAGTCGGCGCTTTACAACCTTAAATATTCGAATTAAAAACAAAAATTAAAGGACAAATGCCAAAGAGAAAAATACTCCTCTTATGCTGTTCACAATCAGAAAAGTGTAGTGTGTATAGGTAGTTCTATCAAAGTGGCACCAATGTTCATATTAAACTATTTAGACATGTTTTCTAATCATTGGTCACGAATATGTTATTCAAGTTCAATGTCTTAGACAAATCAGAATAATGTTACAGTGGACGAAATGAAGATTGAAAAATTAGCCTGTTAACCAATGTAAGTTGAAGATCTAGCCAGGTAAGGATTGATCGAAAAGTGGTTACAAAGCCAAGATTGCTAGAAGTACATATCAGCCAACCAACAAGACAAGTTCAAAATACTGCTAAGTCAGTGATATTCATCTTTGTATGGACATATTCCGTATTTGAAATTAGCTAATTATTTGGTATCATTCGATAATATTAATATTAATTGAAGGAGAGTGCACGAATCTTCAGTTAGTGCTGAGTAAAATTGGTCTTGATGTTGCAGTCGTGGTCTTGCTCTTGCAAAACTACAAGACCAAAATCGAACGAAGATGACCAAGACTAAAACCAAAATTGAATATTCAAGACCAAGACGAAATACGCAAGACTAAACGAAAAATTACTACTTCCGGTAAATTTATGGGTTCAACCACAGCCGGGCAAACTCGGCCCTTTTAACTGCCGAGTTCTCCTCAGGTGTAGCCGAGGAGCTCCTCTTTTTCCTTTTCTTATCCCTTCCACTTGGTAGGTTAGTCCCCTCTTCCGTTGCCGAACCCAATAGTATTGCGCCATTAGTACGGTACGCTACCCTTATGCTGCGGGACGATCATTCAAAAATTTAAGAAAAAAAAAAGCAATATGGGTCATTATTGCATACTATTTCTTACTCATTGAAGGGTATAAAATGACCCAAACTTCACTCAGGTAGCGGCTCCTACAGAGTCAAAGTTTGCTCGACTCTGGGTTAAACTCTTAAACTATTTTAAGCAATATTTTAAGTACATCCTTTTCTTAGAACGAAACATTTTTTTGTACCTATTTGAAATTTTCAGTTTGCTTTACAAGATTTTAACACTAAATATAAAAAAAAGACACTTTACCACTGTTTGAAAAAGCAGCAAATGTCCTCGAACTAAGTTGTTGTTATACCTAAAAAACATATGGTTCAAAGATAGAGACAAATTAATTGTTCAATATTTTTACTTTTTTTGAGTACCTTATACCTACTACTTTTGTCGCTAAAAGACCAATTTAAGCTTTAGAAGAAGGATAAGTTCTCGAGTTTTCATAACTCTCACAATTATCGTCATTATTTTCTTCAAAGGCCATGACAATCTTGCATGTATATCCGAATTTTTGAGGATTTAAAGCAATTATCGGTAAACAGAAAAATTTATTAAAAGAACGTACCACTGAATCAACGAGACGTGGCCCTTTAGATCGTAATGCCTACAAATGCGCATAGGGCGATGACTATTCTGTGTTAAATAAATCATTTAAACTCGACGCACACCAACTAGCCCGACCAACATAATCAACATAGTAGACGACCAGATAAACGATAAATATACTCTTTCCTACTCTGAGCTAATATTCGCATTTCCCTAAAACTAGAACAACCCGAATCCGTAACTATTTGCGAACAGTAATCTAATTTAGGTCTACTCTACCCTCTAACTCCTGTTTCTGCCTCTAATATGTCTCTGACTAGACCTTCATGCCTGAGAAGGTGTCCTACTAACCTATCTCGCCTACTTGTTATTGACATCCATAGAGTCCTCTGTTCTCTTACTCTTTCTAATATTTCTTTATTTCTAACTTTCTCTCCACGCTATCCTTATCATTTGCCTGTAACGCCACATTTCGAACGCTTCTAACCTTTTCTTTTCCGCTGCACCCACCGTCCATGTTTCGCACCCGTACAGAGCCGCGCTCCAAACCTACACCTTTAAGAACCTTTTTCGAATTTCTAAATTAACCGTTAGCGAGCATAGAAGTGACTTCTTTTTATTGAAGGCGACTCGACCCTGCGCTATTCTCTGCTTTATATTCCGTCCTGACTTATCTGACTTTCTAGATACCAAATGTATTACGTACCAAGTAAGTAGTTTCTGTTGTGAGTACGTCGTGTTCGTAATATTAATTCCTAAAAATGTTTATCATTTCCCTGCGTCCTTGAAAATATACAGGCATACGCATTCCTTGATTGCACTGTTACTATGACATTCAATTCTGGCAAATATTGTTCATCTAAAGTTTTGACTTGAGTTCATTTTCATGAATCTACATAAATAAGTCCTATTTGATTTGGTTCTTATAATGGATTATACAATTTTCAACTATCCCGGTGGCAATAAGTGAGGCCGCACACCTAAGATGCAAATATTACGCCACAAATGTTTTATTTAGGTGTGTGACGTCACTTATGATCGAAGACGTTTGACTAAATTCGTAGGCATTAATAATAGGTACGTGTAACGATCTTTAGGAATAAACAAGAATCTAATACAGTTTCTCATAATCAAAAATGGGATCCGCTTAATACGTTTATTAAGTTAAAAGTTGTCGAATAAAATAATGCGAAGTGGTCTGTATTCTGTCAAAACTGCCAGACGCGGATCGTGAGTTCGATCTTTTTGGATCTCATCAGCGCGTCGCAGACGGCTCCGACAGAACACTTCGAATTATTTTATTCGATAATCCTAAAATGTAGCATCGTACTACAGATGACGTTTACCGCGTTATTTGTAGTATTTTCTTAAAAGTTGTTTATTGCGATCAATTTAGTAATTATTTCTTTTGTTTCATTTCATGTTTCTAACCTGAACTAACGGTTCAGTAATATGGAAAATTTGCAATATTTGAGTACAGAGTAGAATCCCAAATATAGGTCAATTTAAAATAATACAGCAGTGAAAAGTTTAACACCGAAGAGTGGTGAAGCAAAAATTGAATTTCGCATTCAATTGAACTTTCAATAATTGACTACAGGCAAAGTAAGCGACGCACAAAGGAAATTAACATTGCAACTTCCGAGACGGGATTTCATCTTTTCAATTTACTTTTAATAAAAGGCAGCGGGACAAGATAAACGTAAAACATCAGAAGAAATCATTCTCGTGACCCGCTTTGAAGTTTCGTGATTATTTGTTAAAATCATTCAAGTACCTCAATAACGTCTGTTGTATTTCAAATAACCGTTTGCACTTTTGGACACGATTTTATGGAGTGTGTATTTTGGGATGCGCGTGGAATAATTTTCATTGACTACCTTGAAAAAGGAAGGACCATCAACAGCGACTATTACATAGTGTTATTGGACCGTTTGAAGTACGAAATCGCCGAGAAACGACCGCATTTGCAGAAAAAGAAAGTCCTGCTTCACCAAGACAATGCACCGTCTCACAAGTCAGTGAAAACGATGGCAAAAATTCATGAATTGGGCTTCGAATTGCTTCCGCATCCACCGTATTCTCCAGATCTGGCCCCCAGCGACTACTTCCTGTTCTCAGATCTCAAAAGAATGCTCGTTGGGAAAAAATTTTCGTCGAATGAAGAGGTGATCGCCGAAACTGAGGCCAATTTTGAAGCAAAGGACAAATCGTGCTACAAAAATGGTATCGAAAAGTTGGAGGATCGCTATAATCAGTGTATCACCCTTGAAGGGAATTATGTTGAATAAAAAAAACGAGTTTTGCAAAAAAAATGTGTTTTACTATTTCAGGCCGGGGACTTTTCAATTGACCTGTTACATTAGGTAAGGCACCTTTTCTGGTGAACTGTTCTTGTGTATGAAACCTTTCGTTTGCTACAGAGCATTTACAAGAACAAAGATATGTACGTGAATACCAAAATTTAATAAGCACATGCTTTATTTTCTTCTTCACATTTTCATTTTCAAACTTTAATTACTTTTCATCCTCGTTTCTCCTTCCTTCATTGGAACTTCAGGGAATTGCGTAAGGGCGGCGATCTTCTCCACTTCATATTATTTTAAGACAAAAAATTCATTTTCTTTGTAAACTTTTTACTTTTGAAGTCGAATCGTAGCTTTTTATCAAGTTGGGAGGAGACCATATCGTCCATCTTAGGTTTAATTTTTAATAAGAAACGAGGAAAGGAAATTTCCTTCTGGGAAAGATACTTACATATTTAAATAGGTATCGCACTAATGAGTATTTCTTCTCCTTCTCGGCGTCTTACTGCCACTGAGATTTCTGGCGGAAAATGGCGTAACTAAGCCGTACTGTCGGATTTATGGTATTTGTCTATTTCTTTTTCCTTCACTTCGTAAACGCTTATAGCAATTATTTATGTATATATTTCCGAACAAATTTAAATATGTTAAAATTTGTAAAGGAAATAGTCCGCGTTTTACATATTATAAAGCTATCATTTTTCATTTTCTTTTAGCACTGAGTAACTTTTTAGAAAACAAGTTTCCTAGCCACGACAGTGTAGTAAACGACAGAAGAAATTCCATAGTTTAGTGTTAAGTAGATATGATAGAGAGAGGAAGGGATTGTTGAAGATTTTAGAAATAAAGCAGGAGCAGGTGAGGGGGTGGTTCAGGAAACGGGAAAAGGTAGGAAAATTGGTGAAAAATAGGCCAAGAAGTACGATGGGTGTAAAGGAGATAATATGGAGGGACTAACAGAGGGTGTCAAGATATTTAGAAAGAAATAATGACAACACTAATAACAGGGAATGAGAGTAGATGATGTAGATGTTGGAGAAAGAAGAAGAAAGACGACAATGTAAAAGGAAGGAAAGGAGCTTGAAATATATGTTAGGAGGATGTGAGAAAGGTGGGATGTGGAAAGATTGCTACGAGTTAATAGGGGAGGATAAGAAAGAAGATTTTAAATAATGGGAGGGCAGAGTAGAATGCAGGGCAGGGAATTAGGTGCGGAAAAAAAGAGTAGAGAATAGTGATAAAAAGATGTGAATAATGGATATAACTTTAGTGTATGTAAATTAAAAGTGTGTTTTCATTTGGCTATAGGATTTGGCACTTAGAGATTAATTAATTATTATGTACATATGTTTAAAGATGACTTCTGATTAAATAAAATTAAGTATTAATAAGAAAATTCCAGTGTTAAGTTAGATTATAAGAGGAATTGAACTTACGTTTGGAAACAGGTTGATTACTTTCGTTAAAATAGTTTCAATTTAATTTTTAGATAATGTTATGTTTCATTCTAACGGCGTGCGACAGGGGATTTTCCTTTGTATTAGAGGAATTAAATACTGTAGGATTTTTTTTGACGTGACAACGTCTTATAATTCGATAGAGCCGGCTGCACGGCTTGAAGTGCAAGCGAAAGCGCGGAACGAGCGACAAAGAGGCACAATCGGCCTCCGCGTTCGACATCTGTCTCTCTCCTACTTGAGTGAGCGATGCGTATACAATAATACATTTCCATTTACCTCCTTCTCTATATCCATACAAAATATCTATCAAACAAATAAAATTAAAATTTTCCTTTGAAAAATGAAACCATTTAATCAGTATTTTCTTATGACGTTGTCACGTTCAACTATCGTCAGTAAACCGACTTTACAGACAACCGATTTTTTTTTGTTAAAACGTGTATTTGACGTCTATGTAACTTAAGGTTTTAAATAAAGTAGTAAATTATAATAGTCTAGCGCTGCTTGCAGCTCTTATGTTACTTGACTCGTAATCAAAGCTGGGGATTTGGTATTCCAAATTAAATTTTAGTGAAAGGTTGGTAATATGTTTCTAATGGTTATGAATATGTGAAATGTCAATTATGTCTTTAGAAGGCTACGAAGCTCTCAAGTAGCAACTTCAACGTAAAGTTCGTGAGAGTGGAACATGCTCTAAAAGCACTTCAACATACATACAGATTTATATTTCCATAAATTTTCATTCCCGTTACCAAAATAAAACTCCCTTCTACGGATTGAATCAAGTTGAAGTTAAAATTTTATTCTAGGTGTCTACTAGAAACTTTACTCATTCATTATTGAATAAAACTTCACGTTCCAGAAAGTAGCAGTAGAATCTGTATGTGGGAATATACGTATAGGACTACCTTCTCATCTAATTTGGAGAGGTTCCATGAATACGTAATTTTATTATACCTTTGCGATTTCCAGTGGATTTAGACCCGTTTGATAAGTGGTGTAAAGGTGCACCTAACCACATTTGGTAAATGCAACGCTACTTGCGAACAAGCCAAGACTACTTATGACTTACACAGCGTATAAGTTTGGATCAGTGCTCACCATAAGAGCTTTACATCTGGTTCTGTGAATGTTGTCAGCTCATATTCCATATATAGATTCACATATTTTTTGCTGAATGAATGGGTTTTCTCAAAATGGAGTGAATATGTATTAGANTGCCGTTTGTAGTACTTCCTGAGACAATAATGTTGTTTTGTATTACTGCAACGTAGCTTTTATTATAGCATAGCGTTGTGAAATGGCAACAGCATGATTTTATAAAACTAAAATTCATTTCAGTAAGACAACTCCAATATTATTGTATTAAAGCAGGAAAATAAAATTGGTATACGCGATAATTTAATTTAATGAACAGAAAAAATATTCTTGTTGCAGGAAAACATAGGTAATTTGTCGGATCTGTACGAATGAAATTTGAAATAGCGATCAGCATAGTTTCGACAATATGCTGACGAATCATACGAGGTCTGTTCAAAAAGTATATATATTTTGTCCCCTTCAAAGTCATCCCCGCCAGATATTATCCACTTATGCCAACGTTTTTTCCAATCCTCGATGACCTTCAAAAAATCATTTTTTGTGATCTTGTTCAGCTCCTCCTTCGATGCCGTCTTTATCTCCTCAATCGTAGCGTAGCGTCGTCCATTCATCGGCCTCTTCAGTTTCGGGAATAAGAAAAATTAGTGTGGAATATGGTGGCTGCGGCATTATTAGTGTGTCGTTTTTGGCCAAAAATTCGCGCACAAGCAGCGATGTGTGAGAAGGACGTTATCATGAGGCAAAAGCCAATTTTTGTTCTTCCACAAATCCGAGCGTTTCTGGCCGATTGCTTGCAGGTAATATCCCTTATTGGCCGTTCTACCCTGTGACAGGAACTGATGATGCAACACGCCTCTGCAATCGAAGAAAAACGCAAGCAAAACCTTCGCATTCGACCTAACCTTTTTTTTTTCGGTCTTTTCGGGCTCATGCTGCAGATTCCATCGGAATAATCGAACTTTTGTTTCCACGTCATAACCATAAACCCATGATTCGTCACCAGTTATGACCTTCTGGAGATTTGGGTCGTCGCGAACAAAGTCCAGCAGCTCCTTAGGAATGCTAATGCGATACTGTTTTTAGTCGAAATTGAGTAATTTTGGTACGAATTTCGCGGCGACCCGTCTCATGTCCAAATCATTAGTAAAAATCAAATTGCAGGAGCCAATCGATATGTTTAGGTCCTCAGCAACTTCTCTAAGGGTGATTCGACGATTGGTCAATACTGTTTTTTTCACTTCACCAAATCAAGTGTATTGACTGTTGAAGTATAATATATGCGAATTAGCGATTACAGGGTGATATGAAAACAGCGACGAATAAATAAGGATTATAACTACCATGTTATATAAATAACAGTTCATTTCCATGCAATTCTCACGGAAAACTGAAAAGTTTAATGAGCCAGGACGCGCTTTTAAATTAAACAAATGTGAAGAAAGTAGGGTTCTTTTACAAGATGTATTCGGAAAGTAAAAGTTAGTAGGATCTCATTTTCAATGCAAGACAACGGTAGAATATCACAGACAACGAATGACGATGACAGATCTGACCAGACAAAAGATAACAAAAATCCCAAATAACTGAAAATACAAAACAAATGTTTAGTTATGACTTCTCTTCTACAAAAACCGATAGCCTAGAATTTAACAACAATTGTTACAATTACAATGAGAACGCTACAAATAGATCTTTTAAAAGTGTAATCTCTACTTATTCTACACCCAGTTATCCAACATTCCTGTAATAGGGGTAGGTAAGAAGAAAATGTTGCGTTACAGTTTTGTATATTTTACAATTTGAAAATATGTGCTTCTGCATCTTTAGTTTACCAAACCATTGTCTGTTTCTTTTTATAAATGAACAAATAATGAGTGTCATATCTTGTACCCTTTTTTTACATTCTGACTGCATATGTAATGTTTATATGTATGACATGAATGATTACATTTTTCTTTCTACTAACCTTTATAAACGTATACAGTAACATTAGCCGGTCGGGCATTGGAAGGTACACAAGAATAATTCCCGGAATGATAAAACTCAGCTCGTGGAGCAACTAGTTCACTACCCAGCCGTCCAATTCTTATGTTAATGCCGTTTGTCATGTCGAAATTGATCATTCTGTCTCTGTGGTACCAAAAAATGTATTCTGGATCCTCGTATTCGTCTTCTACGTAACAACTTAACCGTAAAGTTGATCCAACTTTAAATACCTTTTGGGGGTCTCCAAGTATTTCGGCTTTGGCCTCTGAAACCAAGAAAGTATTAAGGAGAGAGTTAGTGTGTTAAAGTGATTTTGTAGATAGTTATTGATACATGATAATAATATGCAATTGTTTAATTTTGTTTTACTTATAGTTTTGGCTATTTTATTACAAACAATAGGAGAACAGAGGACTCTATGGAAGTTAATAAAAAATAGGCGAAATAGGTTGCTAGAACACCTTCTCAGGCATGAAGGTCTAGTCAGAGACATATCAGAGGCAGAAACATGGGTTAACAGGAGTAGAGGTAGACCTAAATTAGATTACTGTTCGCAAATAGTAAAGGATGTGGGATGTTCTAGTTTTAGGGAAATGCGAAGACTTGCTCAGGATAGGAAGGAATGGAGGTGGTTGTCTAACCAATTTTAGGACTGATGACCGCAGTTTCTGTGGTATAATATTCAAAGAAATCTGTCTACTGCAAACGGACTTAAATTGTCCCACAAAAGTTCTTTAAGGTTATCGTTTGTTTACTCTGTATACGACCAAAACTAAAGGTTAGATAATTATTTCAAAAACACCGTTACAACAATGATGGAGTTTTTCGTTTTTTTTTTCTATCTAGTTTACTTTTTTTTTTGAAAAGAATCAACAGATCAGTGCATGGGTTTCCCTATAACACTTTCGGTTACCTTTTGATCTTCGTGCTTAGGACATACCTGTTGTTTAAACTGTGGATTTTATATCTATGCTTTTCTAAACTTTTTGTGGGAAATTTTGTGCAATATCAAAATGACCCTATCCCTTTTTCTCTGCACTTTCTTGGTTTTCTTGCGAAGAGTTGATGCAATGCAAATGTTTTTTAATAAAATTGGCATACCTACATGTTGTAAATTGATTTTCTGCAGGTTTTCTGTCTTTATTATTTTTAGTTTCGCTACCTAATTTTTGAGAAAAAATTCAAAATAGTCTGCTTCTCATAAAGGTCCTAATAACCGCCTGACTGATCAGAAAAATGTGATAGTTAATGGAAAATAAGTTAGTAGTAAATGACACATACTAAATAAATTAAAAAGGAAAATTTTAACTTTTCTACAAAAAAATCGAATAGGATTTCTATTAAAATGGCCTTTTAGTTAACTTCTGTAGATATATACATCCTGCCTTTATAATTTTACATTTTATTAATTTTTTTACATAAAAATTTTTCCTTTTTTGTCTTCATTATTATTCTCAATCAATCTTTTTTTTTGTATTTTGAATTTCCTTCTGTACCTCCCATCTTCTATGTATTTCTTTAGTTGTAACGAATACATTGCGCACTCCATCATTAATAAACAGAACTCCACTTTCTTGTTTACAGAAAAATGATTTCTAGAGAACGTCTGTACAGACATTTTCAAAATATCAGGAAACTACAGTTAGTTTTATCCTCAAAAGCTTTCAAAGGAGTCTGTAATGGGAAATTCACCTAGAAACTGCACAGATTTTCGCGACATCTTACTGAAATACAATCTACTAATATTTCCCGATAAAATTCTGCCTTATCATCAGACGGACAAATTTTCTTACGGTAGACAAACCGTTCTGCTACTAGATGACACACATAGTCCTGAAATTCAATTTTGTTTAATTTCAATAATTTCTATAATTATTACAATTTAGTATTTATCGAATAAATATACTATAAGAAATTTTTGGATTGGATTAACTTTTTATGGATTTGATAACATTTCTATACCTACCTCTATGTTTATTCAATAAATTAAACATTTATCATTTTAAATTTAAATACTCGTAAGACTTACACAGAGTAAATACCGAAATCTTTGAAGAAACTTGTAGAGGAAAAGTAAAATCGTTAAAACCCCTGAAAATTTCAAATGGATTTTAAACAAAAATCTGAAATTTACAATTGACTACATTATAACTCAACAGAACAGTTCATTAAAGACGTTAGAGAGCTTCAAAAACGTACAGAGAGGTAGGTACCCTAAAAAAAACTAACTACAAGAAATTCTTCGCAATCTAAAAAACCACCTGGATAGCCTCAACTAAAAACCCACTTAGATTAACAGGATGACTAAATGGGTTTCTCGAAGGAACTCCTAAAGAACGATATAATAATTTCCAAAAATCAACCGAAGAAAAGATGGTGAAACAATAATCTACAAGATCTAGTGGAAACAAAGAAGAACAAAAACCAAGAAATAAACACCACAGAAATGTCATTATGGAGAAGATTTTGCAGAAAAGCAATAATGGACGAGCTACCAAACGAGACAATAAACAGAGAATGTAAGTCCAAGGCATATTAGTCGAACGAATACAACAGAAACAACTGTTGTGGTATGGGCATATGCCAAAAACGGATAAAGACAGATTACTACAAAAGATATGAATATGGAAACCGTAACAAACAACGAAAAAGGGAAGACCTACAATAAGTTCGAACACAAGGCTTACAAAGGCAATCGCAAAGAGAAAACCAGAAGAAGGAATTGTAATAAATGGGAAGTAGATAGACTAGGCTGCGGTAATCAGCAGTGTAATTACCTATTAAATACAAACGGTGATTTAAAAAGCATAATGCTAATCAGATGCAAGTAATGTAAAGTTAGAATTAAACAAGCCACCCCATCTCTGCAATAGTAGCATAATTAAAAAAATCGCATTGCGCAGTTGTCAAATACGCACTGGACGCGTGCTCTAAGAGTATCACAAAGCAAGACAATTTTCCGAACGTTTTGTGTTTAACAATTAAGTACCTATGCCGAAATTTGTTAGTGATATTTTTAGACCCATTCGCTTCGGATTCAGTTATTGCTCTTATCTCTAGTGTTTAATGTTCCAATTCAGATACGTCTTGACAGCGTTCTGATGTTCTAACACGTTATCACAGAGTAGGGAAGTTTTTTAAATCTATCGCTACCGACGATAAGACTTGGGCCCTCCATGCTACTCTAGAAACCAAACAACAGTCGAAGCAGTAGATGAACTCAGTTTCGCAAAGAAGCCAAAACTGTTCAAATCGACCAGACAATACGTAACGTATTTTTGAACCAAAAAGGTATGTGTTGGTGGTCTTTTTGAAGCAGAAGATAACAATAACACAGGAAGTTTATTATGAAAATTTACGTAGTCTCCCCAGAGTAATGGAAAATAAACGAAGAGAAATACGTTCCTTTGGTGTGGTTTTCATCCAGGACAAAGCACGACCGCACTGTGCCAATATGACTACAGGCATTTCCAAACAATTCAAGTGACGTTTTCGAAAGTATATAGTCCACACTGCGCACCGAATGATTTTCACAATAACCGAAAGTTGGATGGATAACGCTTTTCCACTAACAAAGAATTCCAAACGTTGTCAAGACGTACTTGACCTCACTGATGTCATCCTTCTATTATGCAGGTGATGTCACGATATATAAAATACCTCAATCCTTCCAGCGGTTATGCAGAAAAATAAATACACCACATCCCTGTTACCTTTGGTAGTAAAATCATTTTGTTGTATATAGTACAAGTGTATTGTTTTCTGCTCATCGGAGGTTCAAAAAAGAATACTTTTCCGTGTATAAACAGTGCGTATGAAGTTTACAGTAAACGACAGAACAATTTTATTAATAATAAAAGACGAAAAGTTTTGTGGTCGACTAGCAAACCCAAACGTACTCCAAACTGGAAACATTTAAAAAATTCTAGGAAATTCTAAACATTTTCTGGACACTGGTCCAAATATATAAAAATGCCTTAATATAGTGTCAGAATCCAGTTTCACCACTCACACATGAGGGTTTCCGAACATTCCAGAAATTTCTCCATTCTTCCGGTTCAGTTCACTGTAAAATATTCTACCTAAAGACAATCCTAGACATTCGAAAACATTCTAACTGAAGAGTGAAGACGCTAGAAACATTCAAGAACATTCTCACTTATTCTAAACGAATGATTGGTGGGCGACACTTTTTACGACACTGTGTATAAAATGCCCTAATACCTGTGGTGTCAAGAGTCATCTCCACCATTCACACATAATGATTCTCAAATATAACAGAACGGTTTCAATTCCTTCAGAGCAATTCATTCTAGAACATTCTGGCTGATGGAATTAATAAGGTATCCAGAAGATGAAACTTTCACATTAACCCACAAATATCTTTTTAGTTGAAATATCAAAATTCTCTAGGTTGATTACTTTAATCACCATTTATTCCATACCACCACAGTTACCGGCATGCAACCACCGCAGTATACAATGGGAGACTCGAAGCTAACTACCACACACAAACACAGTGCTCTGCGTTAAGTAGTTTATGGATATAAAGTTAAATCTACGGTCACAGACATTTACTTCTGTTTAGGAATAGAAATGTTTCATATTTTGTGTCTTCTATTTCAAGTACCTGTCGTATCATCACGCTCATAATTTTTCACGTATATTTATGATCTCAAGGAAGTGGAGTTTGTTACTGACGATCCGATACTTTCTCTTTTAAAAATGTATATATTCTCAGCCACTATCTGTAAGACAACACTGTTGGTGTAGCAAGGTTTTTTGATTGATAACGGTAACAATGGTTTATTTAATTGTGGATGGTAACAGTTGCTTACCAATAACTCGTAGATGTACAGTCCACTTTTCCACTCTTTCCGAAGATATTGCAGCCCAACATTCGTAACTCCCTTCGTCTGAAGGATTCACGAGGGCTATTAATAAGTCCCACCGCACATAGCGAAACTTGTCGTTGCCCTAAAATAAGTTATTCTTAATAACTTCGAATGAAACAAAATTTAAATTTTCAGACGTTATTCGTATAGATACTATTGACAGTAAATTTGCGAGGTGTGTTAATTAAGCAAAGAGACTGGTTTTTGATAATTTTTTATTCTATTAAAATTACAATTCAACATTGTCATCCTCAAAAGAACTTCAACTGGAAGTCACTCGTAGTGGTGCTATAACTGGGATATTTGAATAGCCTTCAGCTGGTTAGCTGCTGACAATTGAATGTTTTTGAGTGTCCCAAAATGACATCACTTGAGATAAGTTTTCACTCTCCGGAAGAGGGAAAGGTCACATATGCTCAATTCCGGTGAATAAAGATTTTGAGGATGCTTATTCGGTCTTGGTTTTACTGATATAGACTCGGTCTTAGTCTTGGTCTTGCGTGTTAAGCGTTGGTCTTGATCGTTTAATCTGATGCTTACGTTTTTTTTGTTTAGTTTCTGTTTACCGACACAATAATTGTCATAAATGCTGAAGGTTTTTGTCATACATTCCAGCTTGTGTGGACTTTTAAATAAAATAATGTCAATAGTTGTAAGGGTTATGAAAATTCAAGAAGTTACACTTCCTCTAATGCATAAATTGACCTTTTAGCGAAGGAAATAGTGGTAATTGGTCTCGTTCGTTCGGTCTTGATCTTATTCGTTAGATCTTGGTCTTGCTGGTATAGTTTTGGACAGTTTGCACATTTGCATTTTCCTAAGACCAAGAACAGGATGGTAGAACCAAGACCAGTTTTGCTCATTACTACCTGAGAAGCAAGATCAATGTTTTTGTTGGCCAAAAATTAGTTTATTAAAAATGCTGCGTGACGAGGTTCTTTGTCATAATGCAACATCCAGTTGCTGTTGATGTTTGGTATCACACACGTGACCCATTGATGAAGTCTTTAACTATTTGGCTTTGAGTGCGAAGCACAAACTCTTTGTTGATGATTCTCTTGTTATCAAAGTTGCAAATTAACATGATTTTGATTTGTAACTTGTTCATTCTTTTTCTTTTGAGCTTTGAAGAGTCTGGAATGTGTCATTCCAAGCACTGGCGCTTAGTTTCTGGATCGTACTCAAGCACCCAACTCTCGTCCCCGCAACCATATGGTCCAAAAATGAGGATCATTTCCAATTAATTCCGAAAAGTCAAGGCACCTTTCATCCTTTTGTTCCTGAGAAAGATTTTTTAGAACCATTTTTTAACATATTTTTTTAATTCCCAATTCATTGTTTAAAATTTGATGATCGGTGCTGCACCCCGATCATCCTGACAGATCGTGTCGACATTTTAATCGATTATTGAAATTAAAGGCCTTCCCCTGCATGGTTCGTCTTCCACGGACTCCCTACCTCCCGAAAATGCCTTAAAGCACCGAGAAATCTGTGTCCTAGATAAAACACTGTCTCCTTAGACCTGCTGAAGTTTTGCAAGAGCTTTCGTTGCACTGTGCCCAAGTCTGAAACATTTTTACACCGCACTTACAAAATATGTTTCACGAAAACAATTGCTATATACAGCGAAATGACTTTAAACTTGTATTTAAAGCGTATCATATGTTAATCTAATTTACTTTCAAGTCTTGTGTTTACAAAGTTGTCACATCGGTCGCTATGTTGACAGTCTCATTACTTAATATACACACCTCATACATGTACTGTTTTAACTTTACCATGCATTAAATTGTTATTGTTGTTTTCAAATGCGTGTCAAAAGATAATTACCAAACTTCTAACATAACTAAGAGCAATGATGTCTTCTACAAGGTTACAGTTTTAAATCCCCCTTTTCGTCTAACAAGTGTTCGTGAAAACAAAATTGTTGTGACTTTAATAACGAAAATTCTTGTACATCCAACTTGATAGACAGAACTCTGGCAGTAAATAGTATAAGCCTTTACTCAGTATTTTGGCAAACAACTTAGGAAAATAATATAACCTTTCCCTAACTCATTTTGAATGTATGCTAAATCAAGATGATTGAATTATACCATAATGTAATTATTNATGTATGTATGTATGTATGTATGTATGTATGTATGTATGTATGTATGTATGTATGTATGTATGTATGTATGTATGTATGTATGTATGTATGTATGTATGTATGTATGTATGTATGTATGTATGTATGTATGTATGTATGTATGTATGTATGTATGTATGTATGTATGTATGTATGTATGTATGTATGTATGTATGTATGTATGTATGTATGTATGTATGTATGTATGTATGTATGTATGTATGTATGTATGTATGTATGTATGTATGTATGTATGTATGTATGTATGTATGTATGTATGTATGTATGTATGTATGTATGTATGTATGTATGTATGTATGTATGTATGTATGTATGTATGTATGTATGTATGTATGTATGTATGTATGTATGTATGTATGTATGTATGTATGTATGTATGTATGTATGTATGTATGTATGTATGTATGTATGTATGTATGTATGTATGTATGTATGTATGTATGTATGTATGTATGTATGTATGTATGTATGTATGTATGTATGTATGTATGTATGTATGTATGTATGTATGTATGTATGTATGTATGTATGTATGTATGTATGTATGTATGTATGTATGTATGTATGTATGTATGTATGTATGTATGTATGTATGTATGTATGTATGTATGTATGTATGTATGTATGTATGTATGTATGTATGTATGTATGTATGTATGTATGTATGTATGTATGTATGTATGTATGTATGTATGTATGTATGTATGTATGTATGTATGTATGTATGTATGTATGTATGTATGTATGTATGTATGTATGTATGTATGTATGTATGTATGTATGTATGTATGTATGTATGTATGTATGTATGTATGTATGTATGTATGTATGTATGTATGTATGTATGTATGTATGTATGTATGTATGTATGTATGTATGTATGTATGTATGTATGTATGTATGTATGTATGTATGTATGTATGTATGTATGTATGTATGTATGTATGTATGTATGTATGTATGTATGTATGTATGTATGTATGTATGTATGTATGTATGTATGTATGTATGTATGTATGTATGTATGTATGTATGTATGTATGTATGTATGTATGTATGTATGTATGTATGTATGTATGTATGTATGTATGTATGTATGTATGTATGTATGTATGTATGTATGTATGTATGTATGTATGTATGTATGTATGTATGTATGTATGTATGTATGTATGTATGTATGTATGTATGTATGTATGTATGTATGTATGTATGTATGTATGTATGTATGTATGTATGTATGTATGTATGTATGTATGTATGTATGTATGTATGTATGTATGTATGTATGTATGTATGTATGTATGTATGTATGTATGTATGTATGTATGTATGTATGTATGTATGTATGTATGTATGTATGTATGTATGTATGTATGTATGTATGTATGTATGTATGTATGTATGTATGTATGTATGTATGTATGTATGTATGTATGTATGTATGTATGTATGTATGTATGTATGTATGTATGTATGTATGTATGTATGTATGTATGTATGTATGTATGTATGTATGTATGTATGTATGTATGTATGTATGTATGTATGTATGTATGTATGTATGTATGTATGTATGTATGTATGTATGTATGTATGTATGTATGTATGTATGTATGTATGTATGTATGTATGTATGTATGTATGTATGTATGTATGTATGTATGTATGTATGTATGTATGTATGTATGTATGTATGTATGTATGTATGTATGTATGTATGTATGTATGTATGTATGTATGTATGTATGTATGTATGTATGTATGTATGTATGTATGTATGTATGTATGTATGTATGTATGTATGTATGTATGTATGTATGTATGTATGTATGTATGTATGTATGTATGTATGTATGTATGTATGTATGTATGTATGTATGTATGTATGTATGTATGTATGTATGTATGTATGTATGTATGTATGTATGTATGTATGTATGTATGTATGTATGTATGTATGTATGTATGTATGTATGTATGTATGTATGTATGTATGTATGTATGTATGTATGTATGTATGTATGTATGTATGTATGTATGTATGTATGTATGTATGTATGTATGTATGTATGTATGTATGTATGTATGTATGTATGTATGTATGTATGTATGTATGTATGTATGTATGTATGTATGTATGTATGTATGTATGTATGTATGTATGTATGTATGTATGTATGTATGTATGTATGTATGTATGTATGTATGTATGTATGTATGTATGTATGTATGTATGTATGTATGTATGTATGTATGTATGTATGTATGTATGTATGTATGTATGTATGTATGTATGTATGTATGTATGTATGTATGTATGTATGTATGTATGTATGTATGTATGTATGTATGTATGTATGTATGTATGTATGTATGTATGTATGTATGTATGTATGTATGTATGTATGTATGTATGTATGTATGTATGTATGTATGTATGTATGTATGTATGTATGTATGTATGTATGTATGTATGTATGTATGTATGTATGTATGTATGTATGTATGTATGTATGTATGTATGTATGTATGTATGTATGTATGTATGTATGTATGTATGTATGTATGTATGTATGTATGTATGTATGTATGTATGTATGTATGTATGTATGTATGTATGTATGTATGTATGTATGTATGTATGTATGTATGTATGTATGTATGTATGTATGTATGTATGTATGTATGTATGTATGTATGTATGTATGTATGTATGTATGTATGTATGTATGTATGTATGTATGTATGTATGTATGTATGTATGTATGTATGTATGTATGTATGTATGTATGTATGTATGTATGTATGTATGTATGTATGTATGTATGTATGTATGTATGTATGTATGTATGTATGTATGTATGTATGTATGTATGTATGTATGTATGTATGTATGTATGTATGTATGTATGTATGTATGTATGTAT